TCAACGTTTTTGCTTTTGTATAAAAGCAAAAACGTTGATGCGATTCTTAAAAACGTTAAATTGCTGAAAACCTCAAAAATCATAAAATAAAAAGCTTTAATTTTGTAGTTTAAAAGTTAAATAAATTTCCAACTAATAATAATAAAACGATAAGTTTGTTATTTTTTAACTGTTGATTTTTAGTTCAAACTAATGAAGTTTGTTTTGTTTTCATTTTACATTTTTTCTAAAAATGTTGAAGTGCCTAATACAGTAGCGTTTAAGCTAGCTAGAAGATTACAAAAAGTGTATAGCTATTTAATTGCTACATATCGTAGCTTTTTTTTAGCTATCTATATTTTAGCACGGAATGTCGATAGCTTTTTATACAGTTGTAGTTTCGGCCCACTGTTCAGGACTTGTGGAAATAAGATGTTGGTAAGGGTAGGTTCGCGTGGTCAGTTAACTATAAATAATAAAAGTTAACTATAAATAATAAAATTTATATAAGAGGTAATAATTACTATACCAAACATTTTAACTTTATATATATATGTATTATTTATAATCATTATATATATATATATTATTTATAATCATTGTTAATCTTGTTTAGAACTTTTTTTCCGTCTCTGCCTCAATGGATCAATTAGATGACTTGCCAGTTACACAGATAGTGTTTCCATCAGAAATGCAGTCTGTTTCACAAGTTCAACCGTTACTGCATTCATCTTCTTCCTTTTCTTTACCATCTCAAAAAACTGGGATAGACCAAATAAATAACTTTATTCGGAAAGCAAATGTTGAACCCAATACTGTTGAAGGCATTCAATTTATAGTGAACTCCATGTACAGAAAACTTTGTGGGTTGGAAACAGAAATGCGTTCCATGCGTTCAATTTTAGACACTAATCATGGTAATAAAGAAAATATTAATATAGATTATTTACCAGCTAATTCAGTTAAAGAGTTTGACTCACTAGAAAATAAAATAATTAACTCTAATGATAAAGATATCATTTGCAGAAAGTTAAAGCAAATTGGTGGGAGAAATGTAAGTGACTTTTTAAAAAATGCTTTAAAAATTTGTTTAACAGACAAGCTGTGCTGCAGCATTAATCGAACTGGTGCAGATAAAAAGCGTAAGTTTATAGGACCAGTCGAAAGTTTGATTTTTGATGCAGCTTACTGTTTATTTCCAACTGCCACTGAATCCAGTATGACTACAATAATTGCGAAACACTTGAAAAAGTCTAAAGATCGTTATTTTGCTGCAAGAAAGAGAAGTTCTTCTTTAACAAGTGATATACAAATACACAGTCCTGTTAGAAAAAAAAGAAATTTAAACACTGACTCATGTAGTGATTCCAGTTAACTTATTTTTTTTGTTTATTTGTTCTATTATTTGTTTACTATTTTGTTTATTTGTTCTATTATTTTTTATTGACTTTTCTTTTTTTAGATATTTTATTTGTTACAACATTTTTAGCAATAGACTGATCCCGAATTCCAATGATGTAATGTTACGGCATCCTGAAGACGAGGCGAACCATGACAAAATATAAAATTTAAAAAAAAAACATTTTAAACTTTTTTTGTTTTCGATGCTATTTACATTTTATTTACAAAAAAGTTAGTTGCTTTGAAAAACGTTGTTAAATATTTTATTATATATATTGTCTTTTTATTAAAAAAAAAAAGAAATTAAAAAATATGGATATTAGTGTTGCAGTTGCAGAAGAGGATGTTTATATTGGTTCGTCTGAAACTCGTCCTAGGCAGCTGGAAAGTGGTGGTAGGGGTCAATACTGCTGTGTACCAATGTGTAAAAATGCTAGATATGACAAGCATAAAAATAAAACAAATATTGGTTTATTCACTTTTCCTAAAAGCAACCCTCAATTGTTAAAAAAGTGGATTAATGTATTTAATAGCATTCGACGACAAGGAGGAGTAGATAACTTTAATGTTAAAAAGAAGTATACCTTAGTCTGCGAATTTCATTTTAATATAAGTGATATTATCTTAAAACCTTGTTCTGGAAGAAAAACACTTCATAAAGATGCTATACCGTCTATTTTTGTTTTTAAAGAAAACATTATTAAAAAAAATAGAAAAATTTCAAACAAAAATAAGTACAAAATAAATAAAAAAATCACATTTAAACAGCAAAAACATGATAAAATCTTTTTGAAATATATGAGTCTTGAGGTTCCTTTGCTTTATGATTTTTGCTGAGTTCTTTTTTATATTGCTTTTAGTTTTTTTCTCTGTTTCTTTACCGTAATAGATTTATTAGTAATTAATAACAAATCTTACGTTTCATTCGTTTTACTCATATACTGCCTGCTAAACTTGTTGTCAATTGTGTAACACTTTTTTGTATATCAAAAAGCTGTAATCCTTTTAATATACCATTTCTACCATCATTGAAATGAAAAATAGAGTTTACACCTATTTCTACAACATCTTTACTAACAAATGTGATTTTACGTACCTTAAACCATATGAATGAGTTGAGCGCTTCATTTGAACTTTGTGTTTGACCATGCAAACATTTCAACAGTAATTCATTTTTATGTAAATCCATAAAAATGGGTGTAATGAGATTTTTTATTGATAGAGGAATAGATATATTTGGTTTATAAGTTTTACTTGGATATTAAAATGATTCATTTTGATGCAAATATTGGAAAAATATTGTGTCTCTCAGGATTTGGAATATCTGTTATTAGAAAAATGTTTACAAAAACAGCTTTTTTTTTTATTTGTTTGTTTTTTTAAAGTTCATTTTCTTATTTATTATTTATAATTTATTAGTAATTAATAACAATTCTTTAATCCAATACTAACAACAATAGGGTCTAATATAATGGTAACAACATAAATCTTTGAATCGTGTTTCAACAAAACTCTTGACATTCAAATTTCTTTATAAGCAAAGTTGATAAATAAACAAATAAAAGCATGATAGACACAATAAAATGATAAATTAGCTTGCAAGTTTTGCTCAACTTATAGTAAACAAAGGAATTTTTGTGGTTGCTACGGCGTTGCTAAGGTAAATAATATTGCAAATATAGATTTTTTATCACATTTCCAAAAATAAATTCTGTTTCATACATACATCAAACGAAAGAGGATAAAATTTTGAATAAGATGAATTAAAAAAATATATTTTCATATTTTGATCAAAAATTAGTATTTTAATTGTGCTCTACCACCTTAAACTGTAAATCTAAAAGGTTCTTTGCCGGTTCTTTGCCGGTTCTTTGAAGAACTTAAAGGTTTTTCGAAAAAACTTAATATTCTTTTTTGGTTCTTTCAAGAACCGGCGGCTTTTTTACAAAGAAATGCAAAGAACCCCCGAGGTTCTTCAAATCGATTTTTGGAAAACCTTAATAAAGATTCTTCAAAATCTTTTAGAAGCGCCATTTTATTTTTCTGCGTGATGGTTGCTAGTTTAGAAAACGTTGGTTTTGTAACTTTTTATATGCTTAGCGCTACTAGTTAAGCTAATAGTTTAACAAGATGGGTAAAATCTCAATATTGACGATAAAATATCATGCATGAAAAAGTTTAGTTTTAGTTTTAAATATTTGGGATTTTTTACTCAGTAATAGTATTTTATTTGGGGACTTTTTATTATTCAGTATCTGACTTTTTATTACTCATTATTAAAAAGTAATCTATACTGTTGTAGTAAATAATTCAGTTGTTTACTGCTGTTGACATCAATAGCAATAAAAAATAACAACTCAAATAGTAAGAGAATTAATAATATGAATACATTCTATTGAATACATTCATCATGTTTAAAATAAATAAATATGCCGTTGTATATTGACAATTACAATTACATGTTTCTTTATTATATACATGCGACATATATGTATATACAAGGTGACCAGCAGTTAAAAATTCAGGGAATAAATTAAATTTTGCAATAGTCAAGAAATTTTAATTAATTCATTAATGGATTCAGTAACAAAGTATATACATTTTTTTGCTTATTGGAGACTAAAAATCAATTTAGTTTTTTAATTCATGTTTTTTTTTTTTTAAATGTTTTATAATGTAAAGTAAACGGTTTTTAAAAAAACTTTTATTATTTGGGTTAAGTCGTGTGAGTTAAATTTGTTGCCTTTTTACTGCTACATTTGTTAAATTTATATTGATAAATCAAGGAAATTTCATTTCAGTCAAAAAAAAGTAAGGGAAAATAAAATCAAAAATTGTCTGGCGACCCTGATATAATAAATAAACATGTAATTTTAGATAGTTGTAAATAATATTGCATAAAATATGTAAACATACCTTGTATGTTTATATACTTTATACAATATTATTGTTAATGATTTATTTAGATATAATATTAATAGCATTTTTTAACATTTATTAAAGATAAATTTGAATGGCAGATTATATGAACTGGAATGTAGAGGATGTTTGTGCATACTTAGAATTAAAAAGACTCCCAGAACTTAGACAAAAAGTTTTTTTTTAGACTTGAGTTTTAATTTATTTTTATAGTTATAAATTCTATTATTACTATATAGTCATTAAGTGGCATACACAAATAAAAGTGTACATTTTTAAACATTATTTAAAAAAATAGTTAATAATAAATAGATAACAGATGGTATAGAATACATGTTTAACATAAAATTACTATATCAATATATATATATATATATATATATATATATATATATATATATATATATATATATATATATATATATATATATATATATATATATATATATGTGGATATATTAATTCTATGATAAACATTGTTTTTTTAATCAATGTTTTATGTATATTTTATAAATGTATATATATTATATATATATATATATATATATTTATATATATATATATATATATATATATATATATATATATATATATATATATATATATATATATATATATATATATATATATATATATATATATATATATATATATATATATATATATATATATATATATATATATATATATATATATATATATATATATATGGATATAGTAATTCTATGATAAACATTGTTTTTTTAATCAATCTTTTAAAATTAAAAAATGTGCAACATTTTATCATAGAGGAAGAAATCGATGGGAATGTTTTGGTGTCGTTGACAGAGTCGATGGTGTCACGCTTATGCCAGACAATGCATAGACAAGTCATGTTACTGAAAATTATCAAGAACCTTTCAACTCCACCACAAGCAATCAATAATTTTAAGTAAGCATTTATGCTAACATGCTTATTTATACATGTTTTATTAGATTTTTTTTAAAATTCTAATTGATAAATTTTCTTTAATTGTAATTGATATTTAAACATTTCTTGCTAGCTTATATATTTGTTTATAAATAGGCAAGAAGTAAATATTGATTTGTATGAAATAATAATAACAATAAAATATTAGTAATTTAGAACATGTTGCAAATGTTTCACAAACACTGGCACTTTGTGATGATGTTGATAACGTTGAGCCATTAAACAGAACAAAAAAACCATGGCCAGTGCGATATCAACTTCCTATTTTTCCTCCATTAGTAAAAGCAGCACTAGATGCCAACGATGGTTGCTTTTTTCAATATCAAAGAAATAATTGTAGAAACCACCTTTTGCAATGTCTATATCATGATATTAGCAAATACACTATGTAGAAATAACTTTATTTTAAAAACTTATCTTGTGTTTTGCAATATATATATATATATATATATATATATATATATATATATATATATATATATATATATATATATATATATATATATATATATATATATATATATATATATATATATATATATATATATATATATATATATATATATATATATATATGTATATATATATTTGACAAATAAGCATAGAAACCTAGGTGGTTTCCGTGTCATGAAAAAAATATATAAGTATATAATTATTGATGTTTTCTTATTGCTTTAATTCCTTTTTTTTTTAATTTTATTTTTATTTTCTTTTATTTTTATCTTATTGGCAGCCAATACTAATTGAAAGTTTAAAAAATAAATTCAAGAAAGAGCGACTCCCTTTAGTTCAATTAGACATTGTTGCTGAACACAAAAGAAAATTTGGGCAACAAGGTAGAGGGCGCAAAAGAAAGGATTTTGCTGATAATCAATCATGTGCCAGAAAAATAAGAGACTTGGTAATATTTGTATATTACATATATTTACATTGCTATATAGTTACATATATTTATATTGCTATTTTGAATACAACTTGTTTGTTATAAACAATAAAAAGTAAATTTAATTAATCAGAAAAGTGTTCATTGTCATAGTATATTTAAAATTTTTTAAGCCAAATACACTGCCTGTTGGTGAAGATGAGACAACTGTGGCCAAACATCACCATGATATGAAAGCTGAATACAGTAAGCTTCGTCCAGATATTAAAATGCTCCTTGATCGTCAACACCGCAGTTGGCCAAACAGAGCAAAAAAATTTGAATTAAACTTTAGCACAGTTGATATAAAAGCTAGCTATCCTTGGCTTTCTATTGCTAGATTGGTTGGTTTTAAGTTTTTGCATTAAAATATTTTATTACTCTTATGTGTATTTATATATAAAAATGACTTTGGGTTGAAATGTACTTCTATTAAAACTTATTTATACTTAAAAGTTATAATAATTAAAATAAAGTTGTATAAATATAATACAAAAATGTTTAATTACATTTAAAATATGATGCATTTTACTTATACACCTTTTTAATGTGTCTAATTATAGTTATTTTTTTATTTTCTTTAAAGTTTCTAAATGAAATGAAATTAAGATTTTGCAAAGATCTTGATGAAGAACTTCACCAACGGCTGGGTGCCATTGGAAATAAAGTTGTTAACCTTGCTAAGTCTGCTTATAAAGATGAAAATGTAATTGCAATAACTGTTGAAATCGAATGTGAAATTGATGACACTATGAAGCAAGGTATATTATATACATACATACATACATACATACATACATACATACATAAATACATACATATATACATATATAAATATATATATTATATATATATATTTATATATATGTATATATATATATATATATATTTATATATATATATATATATATATATATATATATATATATATATATATATATATATATATATATATACATATATATATATATATATATATATATATATATATATATATATATATATATATATATTGCGTAAGTTAGTTGATTGACAATATTTTTTATATATACACATCATAAACTGTATTTTGATATCCTTTTACTTTTTGCTTTTTTATTTATTTGTTTTTAATTTTTTTATAAATTTTATCATTCCAGATGCCACTTTGAATGTGGCATCTGGAATGATAAAAAATTTTTTAAAAATTAAAAAAAATAAACAATTAAAAAAAAATTAACAATTCTTTTATTGCCAAGATTGTTTAAAGAATCAGTTGATTGCTTGGTAACATTTGATACACCTCACACCAACTATTAAAATGCCAAATAAACAAAAACTGACGACAAGAGACTGCAGCATTATATTAGATAGGAGTGAAATAGTTAAATATTGTAGCGATGTTGATGTGTCATTAGCAATGTCTTGTGTTTTTGCTTCTTACTATATTTTTAATATTGAATACCCTGCAAAATTGAAAAATACATTATTGTTTTTTTAACATATTGTGTTTGGGTTGTCCTACAAAGAATGTCCTGTAACTGTATGCAGAATGGCTAATACTTTACATCAGGTCATAAATTTAATTATTTTTATTATATATATATATATATATATATATATATATATATATATATATATATATATATATATATATATATATATATATATATATATATATATATATATATGTATATATATATATATATATATATATATATATATTTATATTTATATATATATATAAATATATATGTATATATATATATATATAAATATATATATATATATATATATATATATATATATATTTATATATATATATATATATATATATTATATAATATATAAATATATATATATATATATATATATATATATTTTATATATATATATATATATATATATATATATTTATCATCAGTAAAAAAAAGTTATAAAGGATCATTTTTTTAGAAATATGAACAGCCGACAAATAATAATCATGGTGTACCTGGACATGAAGTATTTTTTTTTTTCCTTTTTTGTAAAATGTTTTTTATTTGTCTCATATTTTTAAAAATAAAAATAAAAGATTTATCGTTGAGCTGCTTTTTTACTTGTGTGTGTTGTCTGTGTCTATATATATATATATATATATATATATATATATATATATATATATATATATATATATATATATATATATATATATATATATATATATATATATATATATATATATATATATATATATATATATATATATATATATATATATATATATATATATATATATATATATATATATATATATATATATATATATATATATATATATATATATATATATATATATATATATATATATATATATATATATATATATTATATATATATATATATATATATATATATATATATATATATATATATATATATATATATATATATATATATATATATATATATATATATATATATGTATTTTTTTTTTGCATATAAAACATATGTAACCCTTTAAATTACGGTCAGAAAAAATTATTGCTTAGGCAAGCCTTTGTTATTTTTATATGACTGTTTATTAATAATTATAAATTAATTTTGTTTTCTTTTGTAGTCGACTCTTTTTTTCTGTAGCGTTGTAAAAAGTGCATGATTTCTTTAATCCTTTTTATAAATATTTTCTAATTTAGCAAATAGTTTATTGTTTTAAATGGCTGCAAGTACCCAGTGGGCACATGACGTTATTTCAACGTTGATTTACAGTTGATTTTTAGTCGCGACGTCGTATAACCAAAAATCAACGTTGTATCAACGTTGAAAAATTTGTTTAAAACTATCAAATAAAATCGACGTTGATTCCACGTTAATTCAACATCTACATTACGAGTTCGACCGTTCGTAATTGCAATATGAGAACTAAAATACGCATACGTGACTTTAAAATTTTTTTATTAGCATAACAAATAACAACTAAAGACTTAAAAAGTTATTTATTAGCCCAATAAAAACAAGTAAAGTCACACATGCTAATAATTAGGCCATCTGTTGCCTTTTTATAAAGTTTTGAATTTGACAATTTAACAATAACACATGGCTTAACTTGTGATGCAGTTAGTTAGGTAAATATTAAATAGATATTTCTTTATGACCGTATTATTTCATAAGTGTGGATCACAAGTAGAGATTACTTGAATTATTTTTACAGTTTTTTAAGTAAGTTTTTTTTTAGAGTTTGATTAAATTGTTTTACTATGTATGTTAGTATATTTGACTATACTAGTTTATATATATATATATATATATATATATATATATATATATATATATATATATATATATATATATATATATATATATATATATATATATATATATATATATATATATATATATATATATATATATATATATATATATTTATATACATATGTATATGTATATATATATATTATATATACATATAATAAATATACATATATATATATATATATATATATATATATTATATATATATATATATATATATATATATATGTATATATATATATATGTATATATATATATATATATATATATATATCAGGGGCGGATCCAGCATTTTTTGGTGTTTGAGATAGCTAACTTCCAGACATGGAGCAAACTCCAAACATTTATATGTTTATACTTATATCAAATAAGGATGGTTTGCAAAAAATTGCGATGATTGGAGCCTGGGAACAAAAAAGCCCCAAAATTTGAGACGTACCTGCCCTAAACGTGAGAGCAACAAGTTGATAAAATATTTTTTGTACTATTCTCAACAAGACTTATATTTATCAATAAATTTTAAATTCCATTGTAAAATA